TCCTAATTATTTCAATGTGACGGGCAACGATAGAATTAATTTCCTTAATTTATCATTGAAATACGTGATATCACCCGTGTTATTTAACTTAAACTTTTTTCTCCTGCCATTAAAGGAACTCGTTCTTTTTACACTTAATATCCAACACATTTTCTTTCCATTCGAACCATTAATCCTACCAGTTGCACAATTTTTATCATACGATATTTTCTTCTCGCATTATTATTCAGTATAAAGTTGACAAAAGAGATAAGCGGGGCGAGGGTCGCTCCTCGTGAAAAGAAAAAAGCATCGCGAGGCTCTTATCATTTAATGAATCTCATGCGCGCGGGAGCTGACTATACTCGATCTTCCCGCGAGGGTAGATTCCTCCTCTACTTATTGTATGACTTTGTGTGCGATACACCAACTCACCGAGATTATTCACACACTTGTGCCGCGTTAAAAGCGTTTGGGATATATTGATTCGTTCATTTGACGTCATGACTCGGTAGAAAAGTGTCATTTCGGGAATGTATTCTGGATCACGGCTGGGGCGTCACAACTGATATTATAATACAGAACAATAGCAGTTTGTTAATTCATTTTTCAGATGTTAATTTTAAATCCGTAGGATAAGATGCGACAAAAGATAATGGTATCCGAATGAAAGACGGCCGTTTCGAGCGAAAGTAGTTGGAATTTTGTCTATTATGGAGGGTCGCCGCCCTGGCTAATAACGAATTCACTGAAAATGAGTACGAAATCGTGCCAGTGACAGAATGAAAATTTACATCTGTCCTGGAACATTGTAATTTTTACCCTGAATATTTTTTCACTCGAAAAGTAGTAAATCGATCGGAGAAATTAACTATCCAACAGTAAATTTTAGTTTATATTCTTTACAATATAGTAGATCCTTCCTACCTGACAATGGAGAATCGCCGACCGCTTCGAAATTCTCCAAAAAAGGATGAAAAAAAAAAAGAAATAATAATAATAAAAAAAAAAATAAATAAAAAAAATTAGAAGAAAATAATAAAAGATAAAAAATGATTTCATCTCTGAAGAAGGCAAAAGAGCGGTCTGCCTCGATTCTACTTTGCCATTCCTTGTCCGTGCGCGTCTGTCCATCCGACTGTCCGTCTACCTCTCCGTCTCGCTCTCGCTCTCTCTCTCTCTCTCTCTCTCTCTCTCTCTCCTTCATTTCTCTCTCACTTCTCTCGTTCCTTTTTCCTTCCCTCTCGCTCTTTCTTCCTTTATCCGAACGGAATGATTAATGGGTCCACGCGAGGCAAGACGGTTTTCTGGTTTTCTTGGAGAGAGCATTCGAGAGATAATATGAGAAAGAGAGACGGAAGGGAAAG